CTGAAAGTCATTAGGGTTTCTGTAAGCCCCCTGCAGAAAAAATACGTTTTTTTCTGAAAAAAAATGAATTTTAAGGTTTTTTCTAAAAAGTAAACATTTTAATAGATTTTTAAAATATTTTAATAATTCTTATAGAAAAATCAAATCTCTAATAGCACAAAGTAAGAAATAGACTGACTTATACACACGAAGAAGGCTTTATTAAAAAAGTTTTAATATAAAAAATTTTACAAAAAAAAAAAAAGAAATAAAAACTTTATCAATAGTTACTTATTGTTCATCTGTCCATGTTCTTTTATCTTTGGGATTATAATAACCATAATCATCATCTAGTGACTCATCACTGCTTGATATTGAATCATTATCATCAGTAACATGGTCGTCACTATCAGTTGTAGTATCATTATCCACAGTTGTTGCTCCGGTTACAGGATTAGTATCATTATTATCATCATCTATTTGATCAGCACCGTCAATTATTGAATCATTGTCCTCTTCTTCATCATCATTTTGCATCAAAACACGACCAGCTTCTTTTCTTCTTTTTCTGTTGTTTTCTTTTGATTCTGTATGCAGTCGATTGTTGTCAAAATGAACCATTGCTTGATCAGTATAATAACCACGATAACCACACATGACATTGAAAATATCTCCTGTGAAAATATAAAACAAATATTTATGTGAAAAACAATATCAAAACTTCAATTATGATTTAAAAAAGCTTATGAAATTATTTATGTTATCATACCTAATGCAAAATATCCATCGTTAAATATTATTACTGCAAGACAACATGCAATTTCGAAAGTTGTACCAGATGAAGCCTTGTGTTTTGGTGACATAAGCCACACAAGCGAATGGAAACCTTCGTTTGGATTTTGAGTTGAAGCATCCACCACACGTGTGAGACTTTCCCGTGAACAAAGATTGTTAAAAACAGGCTTAATTGCATCAAGTACAGGACGAGATAAAGCATGTGACGTATGATCATATGGAGTTTTATCACGAACAGATTTCAAATAGCCACACCAATCGATACTGCAATAATCATGATGAGGATCATCATTCGTCGAATACTTGTGCCAAAATATTGCCCAAGATCCTTTGAATAATAAATCCAGATCATGCTTGGATTTTCGAATGGTGGAGGCAAATGTCATTTGTAATCGAAGTATGTTGTGAACTAAAATTAAAAAAAAAGATCCAAATTTTCGATTTTGTGTTGTTTCAAAATCTTCTTCTGAATTAGAAAGACTCACCAGATAGACGATTTTTACCACCAATTGTTTTACCATCAGATAATTTTTTTCTTCCATGTTGACGTTTTACTGTTTCTAATGCTCGTTTCATTCTTTTGCTAAAATGATTCAAGTCTTCGATTTTTTTTATTTCTTTTCCTAAAATTACAGAATAGTTAGAGCATACTTTAATTTAGAAAAAAAATTTCTCAAATCAAATGTATATATTATACCTGGATAAGGTACGATTTTTGAAAGTACTGGAAAGGTTTTTGAATCACCATCACCAACGTACTTAGTGTAGTAAACTCCATATTTTGGAACTGATCGTTTGAACATAATAAGAATAGCAGCAGATTCCATTGTACCGGAACTTTTGTCATAATTTTTTTCACATTGATGCGATCTAATAATATTATCATATTTAGCTGGATTGGATTTTTTAATAGAAAGTGCACCTAAAAAAAAAGAATATCTAATCAAAAAAAAAAAAAAAACTCACCCATGCAAGTATTGCATGTTTTACTGCATATTTCTATATCCAGTACTTTTGGTGTTGTGTTGCAAGATATAAGAGCAGCTGCACCATGTCTGCTTTGGAAACCTCGAGTCTGCCAGAATCCATCTCCACTAACCATTAATTCTGTACCATTTTGAGCAGCTACAGTTTCCGCTACTGCTTTCTTCATTGATTTTTCGGTGAATGATTTTACCATAATTAGTAAATTTCTATCCCATTTGGAATATGTTTCATCTTGAATAGGGCTTGGTAAATTCATAGCTCCCATTAATTTCACTAATCCAGCATGTCTGATGCCACACAAATGACCACCTATTTGTGATCTTACGTTGATGTCTCGGCGATCTGATGCAACAACCTTCGGACTTGTTTCTAAAAATAAATAAAATTTTTTTTTTAAATACATCAACAAAACGCAGAGGGCCTCGATAGTTAGAAATATTCACTTACCAATGGTGATGATGTTTTGACATGTAGAACATTGAAAAGATAATATCAGGAATAAACCTTCGCGCTTGTTGATGTTCATCTTTCCATTCCAACGACTTCCACAAACTTCACAATTGGTCTTACAAACAAAAGCAAATAACATTTGATTTTGTATTATTGAATATCCATCCAATGGTACATTTGAATCTGATTTTGATGATGTAGATGGTATATCCAACTTCGTTTTTTTTGTTATCTTTTGTTGTGATGGTAAAGACGAACGAATTGAAGATGTAGTTAGATTTGATGCTGTAGTTTGTGCTGTTGATATGTTTTTCGATCGTAGAGATGATATTTCTATTCGTTTATTTGGAGGTGTCCGCGTCGATGTTTTTTTTCTACTGCATCTAATATTAAAAATATTCTATTATAATAAGAATAATTATCAAATTAAGCCTTTTTTTCCTTCCAGAATTAGTTACAACATTCAATAATTTCAGATAGAGAATCGTTCTACAGACTAGTTATATGAGAATAAAAATTTGTTTGATATAACATACCGTTTTACGTTTCTTTTATTGGACATAATGATTCAATGAATATTTCTTGGAAAAAAACAGTGTTAATATATCAAATATAGAATCTAAAATAGTTATTTATAAAATCAAAATCTGAATTTCTTCATTCACTTTTTGAACAGACACGGATATCATCATATAATAACGAAATAGACAAACAAACGTGGCACATGTTCTTTCATTTGTATGACATTATTGGAAATTTGAGAACACGATAAACAAAATATTTAAGAGAGACATCGAAAACGATGCGTTCTAGTGTGATCGAAACATTTAATAAGAATTAGTCATTTGTTAGTCATTTGGTCCTTTCTTTCTTCTTCTCTAATCAAAATTATACATAATAAATGCTGGTTTATTTTCTAGCGGTACAATATACGTGTGATAAGTATCCTTTTCAGTAAACAAAAAAAAAGACAATGTATAGTTGATGTTAGCAGTACTTTTTCGAGTAAGCCGACCACGAAACTGTCGGTACAAGCAAAATAATTTTTTTAAAGATGTTCAACATGCCATAATAGGTCCTAATTATGCAGAATTAAAAATTATATAGATAATGTTAGTCAGTTTCTTCAAATAAACGAAAAAAATTACTAAAATTCGCTAAAAATGAAAAAATTTTGAAAAAAATTTTCGCGAAAATGTTTTTCGCTTTTTCTCAGTTTGCACTTTCAAAAAAGCGCATCCCGATTTTCTCCTCCCCGGTTCGTTCAACATATTAATATTTTTTTTTTGTTTGAAAGAGCATCTCAAGACGGAGGGCCCATGGTCGCCCTTTTTTTGAATTAAGCCTTTGTTTGGTCAATATAAAGCCATTTATATGATTTTGCTACCGTTTTTTGACACTTTTTTGAGTCATTGACCTTGTGATCCCTTTTTTGCGCTTAAAAAAGGACTATTTCAAAAAAAGGGCGACCATGGGCCCTCCGCCTTGAGACGCTCTTTCCAACAAAAAAAAAAAATTATATGTTGATCGAACCAGTGCTGAGATATTTGGGATGCCAAATGAGCCATTTTTGACCCTTTTTCGGTTCATATCTCCCGGAAACCTGAAGATTTCGGGCTGAAAATTTTATGGTAGACTTCTGTTTCTAGCGCCAACATATCCTGAAAGTTTCATCTAATTTGAACGTTCCTAGGCTAAAATAGACTTTTGAGGGGGGGGGGCCTTAAGTTTGAGGTTTCCACATTAATTACACATCTATTTTTTATTACTTCAAGTTATCGTAACTAGNGCTGAGTTTGGGTGATTTATCTGATTTAAAATGAGTTTAGCTGAGTTTAGTGATCTAATATGAGTTTCGGTGATTTATCTGATTTAAAATGAGTTCAGCTGAGTTTGGTGATTTATTTTGAGTTTGAGTGATTTATTTTGAGTTTGAGTGATTTATTTTGAGTTTCATCTGAGTTGAATCAGTAGTTTCCCCCTTGTAGGAAACGCAAAATAAACTCATTCAATGTGCAAATGATTACTTTCTTGTAGAAAATTTTTATATGAAATTAAATTTTAAAAGTATGAAATATACTAAATAGTTGAATCGATTCTCCGGAGTCTTTTTTTTTTGTAACAGATATGAATTCCGTTTTTGTATCGATGACAGACAAAATATTTTCTTGGAACTCATAGATATCGAAGTAATAAATCGTAGTATTCTAGATCATGATATCATATTCTATTTCATTTTGCTCCTCTGGCCCTATATAACCTCGTACTGAGTCTAAGTTTCAATAATTTCTAACTCTTTCTACTGCGAAGTATCCTTTATGCGAATGGAGAATGAATGTCTTATTTGATCTGTACCATTTTTTCTATGTAAGTAAAAATCTTGTGATTCCAAACGGTTTCGATTATTCAATGTGTGCTTATTATTCGGCTGAGCCTTTAACGAATTCGTAATTGTAAGCGATTTCGTCATCTATCAATTGTATAATATGTACGCATGTTTTTATATTAAAGGACAGCAGAAAATGAACGCAAATACTCCCGAGTACCTTCTTAATTTCGCCGTAGCATTCTTTCATGTTTCCACCGATACAGAACCATAGGACTTTCTACCGCTAACATTGGCAGCTACAAATCGGCTCACTTAGCTTTTTGATAAAGGTGCTCCATAGAGAAATTTAGAAAGTACTTTAAACAATCGCCCACCCTTATAAAACGATCGTTAAAATGTTAAGTATTTTTTGCTTTTTGTCAAAAGAACATTTTCATCTAATGATGAAGTGTACTGTGTTTTAGATGCTGGCATTTGGCGAAAAACAAAGTCCTATGATTCTATGTCTGCCAAAGCATGAAATAATCCTAAGGCGAAAATAACCACTGTTATAGTTAAAATAGCTTATAACCATTTCAACAGTTTCAACTCAATGAGTTGAATCGATTCATAACTGATTCAACCAGTTTTAATTTCAACAGTAAAAATAAGAAAGTACTAAAAAGTACCTGCGTTCAGTGTCTCGAAGGCAGAACGTTCTAAAGACTATCCTATTCATAACGACGCGGCAGCGGTGCAACAGCAAATTCTGAAAAGCATGGCGGTGCGGCAGCGGCAGATTTTCAGCCGCGATGGACATCTCTGGTGTAGACTCCCGATGAAGGGAATCTTTAAACCAGTTCAAACATCTCAGAACAACTCCATATCCCAATTCCATTATAGCCATTTTTTGTTTCATATTTAAATTACTGACCGTTTTTCTCTCGTTCAACAAATTTCAAATTCAATTTCAATAGATTAAGACTTTTTCTAACCTATTTTCTTTTTACTTGTGTCATATCAAATGTTTGTTCAGTATATACGGTGAGCATTAGTCGTGGTGGTTCCCTCGTAAATTCTAAAGTTAATTATGATAATCATACATGAAAACTGAGATGAAATACTAGTTTCAATCATTCATTTTTGAATAGTTCATTTGCAGAACTGTTCTAAGTTTGAATGTGACTCTGTATGAAAGGAGCGAATGAAACATTTTTTATATTGACATCATTAGATATCATTCGAGTAGTCTTGTTTTTCTCAGCTGCTTCAATAATTATAGGCACTTTTCGCTAGCTACTGTTTACTTTTATTCGTTGAATCAGAGTTTTAAAGGAAGCTCTTTTCTTTCAAAATTCATCTTTACTTGATATCTTGGTTTTCCCTTCGACATTTTTATTTCATATCAAATCAATGAATGTCACAAAGAAGCATTTATTTGTTAAAAGAATAGAATGATATAGATTAAAATAGATCAATCGTTTCATGAGACTGTCTTGATCAGTAACAAGTTATTTCACTTTTTGTCTCTCCGTCGTAATGCTCTAAACTCGTGCACAGCTAATGCAAGAAGATACAATGCTTCAGGAAACTTAACGGAGAATATATCAATATCGTATCTTACCACCCACAATCTTGATGCATGTCGTAGTTTGAACCAAGCTAGAACTTTGCCTCGGCCTTTTTCATAAAATTCTTTAGAAAAAATATCGAGTGTGCTTTTCAATATTATACATGTTCCATTCCAATTGATGGTGAATTCTTTCATTTGCCAAGTGGATGTTTGTGTTATATTTCCTTTGATTCACTTGTTAGATGATAGATCAAGAAGTGAAATATTAGCAAAGTATCCCCAAAGTGATGGGGAACTAGTTAAGTTACCAACGACTTGCTTTGAAGGGTAAGCCACTATTTTATTGTTATGTCCAAGAGCAAATCGAGATTCAATACGATATATTAGTTGCTTTTCAGTTTTATCATAAACGGAAAACTTGTTGCCTAATGAAAAGAAATCTTTCTTGACAATATAACTATGACCAAAATTGTGCACATAAGGAATCATGCCAACTGTCAACACCAGAATCGACATAACCAAAGTATCAGCTAACATCGTGCTTATGTTTATGTCAATGGATCAGAATGTACACATAAAAAATAACGAAGTGTGTTTTTATCATAATGGCATTGATGAATCATACGTAGTCGGGTTACACCATCGAGCCTTATGATAATACTTATCGATAATGAGACAACATGTCAAAGAAAATGCTTCGTAAAAAGCTGATTCATATATCTGTTTGTTTGAATTCTCTGAGGCAATCGAAATAAATGAATGCAAGATAAAAGTCAGAGTAAGATTCTATTGAAACTTTTGAAATCATACTCTTATTAATTTGTTTGAAAATAACGATTCGATGCATGCTATTCGTCCAATATCACACATATATTCAAAAATGAGAATATTTTCGTGAAAAAATGCTTTTCTTAGTGAAGTTCACAGAAATTTAATGGATCAATTTTGCATTTGAAACATCTACTCATTCTGAGTCATCAATTGATCATAACTAAACAATTGCGTGCAAAGGATTTCTACAATCTTTTTTAGTATACATTGAAATAGAATTCTAATAGATGAGAAAAAAATTTATTTCATGAGTAGGTCTTATTACAGTTGTAAATTTCTGGAAAGATTTGAATACAGAACGAAAAATAGTTTGTGACTGTGAGTGAAGAGAAGGTTTATACCAGATTACACACCAAAATCTTAAGATTGAATGATGTTTGCTCTGAAAAAGAAAATTATGAAAACAAAAGAAGATCTCCTAGACGTTGAATATACACTCAATGGCAGTTCTGGAAAATGCCCAACAAATGCTCTCAGTTATAGATACGAGTTTGATCTTTTGTATCGTTTTCTGAGCTTCTGTAGAAATATGTATATTAAGTTAGCAGATCACAGCATTTGCTTTTCTACAGTAAATACTATTTGATTAATATAAGGCTAATAATCATGAGATGTCATCAACGGGACTTTCTCCAAAAATTCATCAATTGACATCAAAACAACATGTTCGTAGAGTTCTTACAAAGACTGAGGTACAGACAAGGATGACATTGATCGATTGGCAAAGAAAACACAACGGTGATTCCATTTGAAAAATTGTACAAATAATTCATTATGAATTCATTTTTTTCTTCGTGTTCAGCTGATTATGAACAGCTAACAAATGGGTGTGGGTGTGGGTGTTGGTATGTGAGTATGGGTATATTGCTCATCCACACCCACACCCTAGCCACACCAATCGATACTGCAATAATCATGACGAGGATCATCATTGGTCGAATATTTATGCCAAAATATTGCCCAAGATCCTTTAAATAATAAATCTAGATCATGCTTGAACTTTCGAATGGTGGAGGCAAATGTCATTTGTAATCGAAGTATATTATGAACTAAAATAGAAAAAATATCCAAATTTTCGATTTGTTTTGTTTCGAAATCTTCTTCTGAATTAGAAAGACTTACCAGATAGACGATTTTTACCACCAATTGTTTTACCATCAGATAATTTTTTTCGTCCATGTTCACATTTTATTGTTTCTAATCCTCGTTTCATTCTTTTGCTAAAATGATTCAAGGCTTCGATTTTTTTTATTTCTTTTCCTAAAATTACAGAACAGTTAGAGCATACTTTAATTTAGAAAAAAAATTCTCAAATCAAATATATATATTATACCCAGATAAGGTAAGATTTTTGAAAGCACTGGAAAGGTTTTTGAATCACCATCACCAACGTACTTAGTATAGTAAACTCCATATTTTGAAACTGATCGTTTGAACATAGTAAGAATAGCAGCAGATTCCATTGTACCAGAACTTTTTTCATAATTTTTTTCACATCGATGCGATCTAATAATATTATCATATTTAGCTGGATTGGATTTTTTAATAGAAAGCACATCTAAAAAAAGAGTATCCAATCAAGAAAAAAAGAAAAGAAACTCACCCATGCAAGTATTGCATGTTTTACTGCATGTTTCTATATCGAGTACTTTTGGTGGTGTATTACAAGATAAAAGAGCAGCCGCACCATGTCTGCTTTGGAAACCTCGAGTCTGCCAGAATCCATCTCCACTAACCATTAATTCTGTACCATTTTCAGCAGCTACAGTTTCCTCTACTGCTTTCTTCATTGATCTTCCGGTGAATGATTTTACTATAATTAGTAAATCTCTATCCTATTTGGAATATCTTTCATCTTGAATGGGACTCGGTAAATTCATAGCACCCATCAATTTCACTAATCCAGCATATCTGATATCACATAAATGACCACCTATTTGTGATCTTACGTTGATGTCTCGGCGATCTGATGCAACAATCTTCGAACTTGTTTCTAAAAATAAATTGAAAAAAAAATTTGGATACATCAATAAAATGCAGACGGATTCAATAGTTAGAAATATTTACTTACCAATGGTGATTATGTTTTGACATATTGAACATTGAAAAGATAATATCAGGAGTAAACCTTCGCGCTTGTTGATGCTCATGTTTCCACTCCAACGATTTCCACAAGCTTCACAATTTGTCTTACAAATAAGAGACAATGACACTTGATTTTGTATTATTGAGCATCCATCCAATGGTACGTTTGAATATGACTTTGATAATGTTGATGTTATATCCAACTTCGTTTTTTTTTGTAATCTTCTCTTGTGATGGTAAAGACGAACGTGTTGAAGATGTCGTTAGATTTAATGTTGTAGTTTGTGTTGTTGATATGTTTTTTGATTGTAAAGATGATGCTTCCATTCGTTTATTTTGAACGTTCCGTATCGATGTTCTTCGTCTACTGCATCTAGTATTAAATTTTTTTTATTATAATAAGAATAATTATCAAATAAAAATTTTTTCCTTCTAGCATTAGTTACAATATTCAATAATTTCAGATAGAGAATAGAATAAAAATTGTTTGATATCACATACCGTTTTACGCTTTTTCTATTGAACATGATGTTTCAATCAATAATTCTTGAAAAAAAAAGCTGTGATAATAAATCAAATATTGAATCTAAAAAAATTATTTATAAAATCAAAATCTGGACACCCTTATTTACTTTTTCAACACACTAATATCATCATATACTGATAAAAAAGACAAACAAACGTGGTATACGTTCTTGTATGTTTAGAACATGATTGGAAATTAGAGAACACGAAAAAAAAAATTTCAAGAGCGAAGAAAAGCAAAACAAAGAAAAGGCATCGCAAACGATATGTTCTAGTGTGATCGATATATTTCATAAGAATTAGTCATTTGTTACACTATTTTTGTCTTTTCTTTCTTTCTCTCTGATAAAAATTATACATCATAAATGCTGGTTTATTATATAGCGATACAATATATTTGTAATAAGTATCCTTTTCAGTAAACAAAAAAGAATGAGACAATGTATAGTTAATGTTAGCAGTATTTTTTCGATCAAGTCGACCATGTCCCTGTCGGTATAAGTGAAATAATATTTTACAGATGTTCAACATGTCATAAAAGGTTCTAGTTATACAAAATTCAAAATTATATAGATAACTGTTAGTCAATTTCTTCAAATAGACGCTAAAATTTGCTAAAAAATGATAAAATATCGAAAAAATTTTTCGCCAAAATCCTTCTTGTTTTTTCTCAGTTTCCACTTTCTCAAAAGCGCATCCCAAATTTCTCCTTCTCGGTTCATTCAATGTATTAATATTTTGTTTTTGTGTGACAGAGCATCTCAAGGCGCATTGCATGGTGGGGCCATTTTTTTAAATTAAGCCTTTGTTTGGTCAATATACAGCCAGTTATATGATTTGGTTACCATTTTTTGATACTTTTTTCAGTAATTGAACTTGTGATCTCTTTTTTGCGCTTAAAAATTGACTATTTCAAAAAAACGGCCCCATCATGCCCTGCATCTTGAGATGCTCTTTCCAACAACAAAAAAAATATTAATATATTGAACGAACCGGGACCGAAAAATTTGGGATGTCAAATGAGTCATTTTGACCCTTGTTTGGTTCATATCTCCCTAAAACCTGAAAATTTCGGGTCGAAAATTTTATGGTAGTCTTTCCTTTCCAGCCCCAATATATCCTGAAAGTTTCATGCAATTTGGATGTTCATGGGCTGAGATAGATTTTTGAGGGTGGGGGGTGCAGGGGGCTTTAATAAAATTTTCACTTGACTAATTCAATATTGCAGATATTATTTCTTAATAAAAAATACTTTAATGATTAATTAATAATTGTTATTTGAATTTTATCTAAGATTATTTGATTATGATCAATATTATATAAGATAAAATCGAAATTATCTATTATTCCATCAATATCAGAATATATACAAATTTTATCAAAACTTTTTGAAATATACTTATTAAAACAATAAATTGCATTATTGATTTTCAATTAAATAAATATTAATATGAATAAATACGATTGAACAAATGATTAACAAAACACAATAAATATATCATATTTTAATTTAAAATGAAAAAAATTCATCTCATATGTTTCATATTGATTCATTAATTTATTAAAATTTCTTTTTGAAACATAGACAAATTAGAAAAACAAAACAAATACGAGTAGAAGGAAGAAAGAATAATATGAGAATAGAATATGTCGTCACTAGCTATTTTATTTTATTATTTTAAATGTCGCCATTTTATTACTAAACTTTTCGTATCGATGATTTACATATTATTAGCAAAAACTTTCATTCTTATTCTATCCTCGTTTTTTTCTCTTTTTCGATAGACTTTCTCTAATAAAAATAATCTTTTTTCTGTAAACATCAACATAAATATTATAATCCGTATGGTGAAGATGAACGAAAGATTGTTACACCGTTTTATATTGATTAAGATCTTGTTAACACTAGAAAACGATAATTATGGTATTGAGTTTTTATTAAAATAATAATCTACATCTCTATATTTGTAAGTTAATGCCATTAATCAAAATCGAGAATTTCGAAATATAGTTTCACTATATTTAATTCAAATATTTTTTCTTATTGTTCTAAGAGTTTATTTATTTAAGTAGGTTTAATAAAATGTCATTTTTCATTATCAAAATCTTATCATTTAACATAAAACATGGAAGAAAAGTGACATCATTTTTTATTATTTAGTTTTTTGTTTTGTTTTAATATAATTGAAAAATTATTTATTTCTATATTATTTAATTTTTAGATAAAACAATCTTGTGTTTTATTATATAAAGATATTTTTCATTAAAATTTCTAATTATTATGTCGAAGATTATCATAGAAAAAAAGCTTAATAATAAATAAATAATTAAAGAAAAACTAGTGAAATACTTATTGATGAGATAAAGATAAGTTTATAAAAAATGTGATTAGTAACTGAAAATATTAATTTAAGATTAAAATATATTTTTATTTTTCTAACTCTCGTCTATCAATAACATAGATATTAAAGAACTAATAAAGTGAATACTATTATTATAAAATGGTTATATTTTTATTTGTATTTAATATGATAGATTTAATTATACATATATCTAATCAATATATTTTTAGAAAAAAAAAATCAACAAAATATTATCTTTAACTTTGATCATAATATTTGATGAAAAAGATATTTACGTTTCATTAGATTATCTACAAGCTGTGAAAACGAGAGAAACAATATATTTCATATATAAAAAATATTTTATCTAATTAAACTAGAAAAATATTCACCCTTTAACAATATCTGCATTATTATTCTATAGTGCGAAAAATTCGAGTGAATATATTTTAATATTAGTCAATCAGTAAAGTTACGTATATATAAATAATCGGATTGAAATGATAAATTCAATTTATATTAATGTATTATACAATATTTGTCTATTATTATTCTATTGAATTATTTTAGATAAATAATATTATCAGTTTTGTTTTTTTGTTTCTCTAATAAATTTCTTATATCTATTGATTTTCGAGTCATAAGTTTATTTTGATAAACTTCAACATTTTTTTTTATCTTTATTACATTTGATAAGATAAATCTATTTTTCTCGTCATATTTATCATTATTATCATGATTATTTATATTCAATTTATCAACAATTTGTTGTTTTTTTTTCTTTGAAAAATAGAATTAATGTCAAAGTATAATTGAATCTTTTTTTTTTGTTTTTCATTTCTTGAATATATATTTATAATTATAAATATATATTTTGAACAATTAATTAAAATAAAATAAATATTAAATAAAGAATTTTTTATTTGATGAAGGTATTTATTTTAATTCAATTTAAAATTCAGATCTTATTTAACAATTAAGTCAATTTGCGAAAGAAAAAGATTAAGAAAAATTTTTCGATAAAAATTTAAATATTTCTTCTTTGTAATAACGATAAATTTTTCATAAATAATTATTATTTTCATAACTGCTTTTCATTCTGCATGAATTTCATTGAACAAACTTCAATTAAATGATTTACTCCAAGAAATAATCGAATAATATGTTCATCAATTATATTCTATCATATTATCATTTCAGTAAACGTTGCTCATTAAAAAACAAAACAAAACATCGAAACTCTACATAATCAATCTCATAAAATGACGATTAATTTATTATTATTTCAATATTAATTTTCTGAAAGTCATAACAAAACAACCTTTTATGTCGAATTATAAATTGATTAAAGTGAAAGAAGAAGATATCGTCTGTTGTCTGTCGTTTTTCGTCTTTGAATCAGCAATGTACGAAGCATAATGATAATGACTATTTAATAACCTAGATAAATTAAATAATTTCAACTATACGTATATACAATGTTTCATTCTTCATTCTTTTTATTCTATTCAACAAAATATTGTTATTTTAAATGTATATGTAAATAAATAATAATAATTAATGTCTTTGACGCAAACAATTAACTTTTATGAACATATTATTGAAGCGTGAAAATGAGAAAATTCCTAGAAAAAGTTTCTTATAAAACGAAAGAAAACTTTTTCTTAAATAGAATCTATAGACATTTTTATAATGAAAACAAAAGTTACACTAATTATATTAAGAAAAAATATATAATCATCCAGAAAAATAAGTTAGAAAAACAGAAAAAAGTAACACTAGTTTACAAACTATAAAACACTCCTTCAAATTAATGTACTATAAACTTCTCTCAGATAAGAATCTATCTAAAACATTGTTATCATTCTCATATATTATCTCGCTTTCGATACAGGCAACACTACTACAATTATCTCAATAAGCGGCTCATACTTTATAAACTATTATTACTTTTTTCTATTTATCTAAATTATTTCTCTCAAGTATTATACAGGCTATCTCATTATTATAATATTCCTTCCACCCCCAAATATAAATATATTCGGTTAATAATAACATTAACAATTGAAATTATTATTTTGACGATTGATTCGAAAGAAGAAAAATCCATCTATATGCTAAAACAAAAATAAATAAACAAAGACTAGTTTAA